TCAGTCATTTCCAAAGAGAAGTCTCATCCTAAAGATATGCCATTTTAAAATTCAAAGTCTAGCTGTGTTTAACATGCTGTAGGTACTAATATCACAAAATCTGAGGAATCATTTTGATTTGCAATACTAGCTCTGACCCTGACACACCATATGGCATTAGGCAATTCTCTGACTCTTTGTGCATCTGTCCTCCAAACTTCAATATGATATTAGCCCTTCTTTCCTACTTTATTTATATATTTTTAGGGCCAAAAGGAAACATTCAATCACCTAGTCTGACTTTTTGTATACTAAACAGTAAAATTCCACCCAGTTATCCATTTGTTGAGCCTAATAATTTGTATCTGATATCATCTAGAAAGGCATGCAGTCCTAATTTGAAGGCTTGCAATAGACAATCTACACTTATCTTGGAAGTTTCTTCCACTGGTTAACCTTCCTTACTATTAACAATGACTGTCTTATTTCTAACTAAAGCATATCTCCCTTTTTCTGCTATATTGAAGAATTCTTAAAACTAGACTTGGTTTTTTTTTTTTATGTACTCCCACACTGTAATCAGGTCATATCTCAGTCTTCTTTCTAATAAGTTAAATGGATTGAATTATTTCAGTCTGTCACTGTAAGGCCAGACCTCATAGTCCTCTTCTGCACCATCATCAATTTTTCCAGTTTTCCTTTTAAAGATGTGTAGACTATAACTGGAGGAAGTATTTTTCTTGGTTCACCAGTACCATATATAGAGGTTAAATCACCTCCCTTCTTCTACTTACTGCTCTCCTCTTCATACATCCAGTGGTCTCACTTTTGCCACAGCTTTGTATTAGGAGCTCATATTGACTTGGTTCATCCATGCGTAACCCTTAAAACGTTCTGGTTATTATTGCTTCTCAGTCCCTCGATTTGTGGCAATGGCCTGCATTCCTGGTTCCTATGTATAACTTTGTCTTTGGTTGTGTCAATTGAGTTTGTTTGAACGAGTACAGTTTGCTTCATGATCCAGATATCTCTGTATGACTCTGCCCCTCTATCGTTATTTACCACCCTGTCCAACTTTGTGTCATCCACAAATTTTAATCAGGAATTTTTAAATGTCCTTCCAGATCATGAGCCAGACCTTTTTGCTCAATGGCTCAGAGGCATTTAGTTTAAAATTGCTACACAGAAGTACTGCTTATTATGATTATTTCACTTTTACATATTTAAGTAATTTAAAGAATTCCTGGCTCAAAAATATTTAGAATGAACCAACTACAATTAAAAATGAAAGAGATTTTGCATATAGAAAAATTGTCTTATGGTTTTACAGACATATATTTTCAAAGGATTTTCAAAAAAATTAAACCAAAAAATTAAAGCCTTACCATTAAAGTCATTCAAGTCACACAATGGAAAGCCAAAAGCTAAAAGAACCTACTGAATTACAAGCAACCTGGATACTCAATGCTGTATGTTTTCTACTCTAACAAGATGAAAAACATCATTCTGAAAGCCTCATATACATCTCAGGAGACAAGAGATGTCTGTACTGACAGCAAAATTGGGAGTCATCTAGGTGAGAGCCCTGATATACTGTCACTGGATTAGACAGGCCATCCTTTAAACACAAACCTATTATTTTTACAGCAAAATATTTCGACTCATGACACCATCAAGAAATCATAACAGCAACTCCCTCCTCCGAATATTTTGTATTTGGTAATAATATTTTTTTATAATCTGGTCACAGATTCAGTGTCAGACTTTTTTTGGTCATGGTCCTAACAGAGATGCGTAGACTACAAAAGGATCTGCCACAATTACAGTGCTATGCTGAAGGAAGACTATACCTCTCCATACTGCATTAAGGTATACCAGACTCCAAAGGACAGTGTGATCATGGCACTGGCCCCCAGTACATGTGAAGCTGATTGAGCACAGCTCCACCTCCCAAAAATCTCTAAGGCAGCTCCATCTCCCAAAAAAATGTTATTAATTCTTGGTCGTCTTTTAAACTGTTCAATATTTTCTTTCGTTCATAAGTGTTATGTTGTACTCAAAGACATACAAAAAACTAGAACTCTTGGTTCCAAAATGATACCTTTTATTAGGCCAACTGGAAAATGGCAAGAAAACTGTCCTTTTCTGCAAGCTTTTGGGATCAAAGTCCCTTCGGCAGACTCTGGGAAAAGTGTAGATGGTACAAGATGGTAATAAAGTCCCCATAGGTAGGAAATAAACTTCATTTTTGCACAGAGGGAGCTGAAGATGGAAGTCTGTCCCTCTGGGTCCATGAGAGTGTCTTTGTGAGCTGTGTTGAGTAGCTCTTTGATGTGTTGATCAGGTAGAATTCCTTCACTGGAGGTGTCAGATGGCAGGCAGGGAGGCAAAAAAAAAAGCTTCCTTGTTGTTCTGCAATGAAGTTTAATGTTGTTTAATGTTGTACTCAAGTTTAATGTTGTACTCAGTGTTTTCATAACTGCTGCTTAGAACCAGCATGTAATTAGTTTGACTGTAGAGCCATGTAGACTGCATACATCTGGCTGTTTGTAATGATCCAAATTTATTTCCACCTGGTGACTTCACCTGCCATCTCACATGCCATGCATTATCCTCAAAGAGCTTTTGGATTTGTTCTATTTCAGAAGCCCCATTGTTTGAGAAGCAATTGTACCCTGGGAATATAGCAATCAGGGATGTTCTCTGGGGAAAACGAAATTGTGGTTTATGCTTTTTTTAATTGATTTTCAAAAGGAGGGTGCTGTGGATGGATGACTTATTTTAGGAACTCATCTGTTCATTGGCATCAGAAAAGACCGTCTTGATTACTAATAGATGCTACATCGAATTGCAGCAAGGGAAGTTAAAGTTGCAGAAAGGGAAGTTTAGGTTAGATATTAGGAAACAATTTCTCACTAGGAGGATAGTTAAACACTGGAACAGGTTACCCATAGAGGTCATGGAAGCTCCATCCTTGGACGTTTTTAAGACCCGGCTCGACAAAGCCTTGGCTGGGAAGATCTAGTTGGGGGTGGTCCTGCTTTCAGCAGAGGTTTGGACTAGATGACATCCTGAGGTCCCTTCCAACCCTAATTTTCTATTATTCTATGATCCTATATATAACTTTGCTACAGAAAGAAAACACACATAGAAGGAAATCCTTTTGGATGAAAGTGGAAAGAAAAAAGAGAAGTTGTGATATGGAAGTAAGACTCAGCTTAGTGAGCAGCTGACAAAAGGGAAGCAAGTGGGTGCTCTTGTTTCTCTGGGGATAATGAAGAATTACTGCCAGAGCTGTTTCAAGTGTGTGCTTGGTAAGAATGATTTATTCTCTGTAAACTGGATCTCAGTATGCAAGCAGGGTTACCAACCCAAGATTCTTTTTATTGACAAATTGTAAGCAGTTTACTGATAGCCAAACTTTGATTTAACAGATATATGTTTTTACTGATCTATGTTTTACATAAGGTAAATATAACTTTTCTGCCAGGCCTTGTCTTACTTCCAGGTCCCAGTTAGGAAGACTAGGTTCAAATTTAGAGGTTTAACATCAACCATGATAAAAAAAAAGTTTGGTTGTTAGTAAAAAGTTTTTAATAAAAAAAAAAAGTTATTGGGTTGGCAACCCCACTTGACTGCAGTAATAGTTTTTACACTGTGCTGCCCCCCCCACCACAATGCCCAGAGGCCCCCACATCCTGATGCCCATGACTGCATGCTGCTTCGCAACCTACAGTGCAGCCTTCCCCCCACAAGTGCTGTTCCCCCTATCCCAACACAGACCACCAAAGAAGCCTAGTTACAACCCAGTAGTAGTATAGGCAGCCTGGAATGCAGCAGCAGAAGCACATGGCTGAGAGAATGCTCCCTGTAGGGTGCTGCACTCCTGCTTAAGACACTAAGTGTTGCTGCTGTGCTCCATCTGTTGGAATTTTTATCAAGCTGCAGCTGCTTAGTTTTTTTTACTGACAACTACAGTTTTTTGTTTTTATAGACTTTACTGACAGCCATTTTTGAACTGAGTTTTTATTGACAGTTGGTAACCCTGTACACAAGGCTTCTTTATCTGTATTTTGCACAGAATGTGGATGTTCTGATCAGTCAAGTGCATTTAATAATGTAATATTTTTGAGGAATTCCGACTTTAACATACTAGGTTTGGTTGTGGGGGGATACAGCACATTTGCATGTCATTTTGTTTCAACTGTGGAACAAAACTAGACTCTCATGCAAAGCAAATCTACTACACACTGCCTATGTCTACACAAGATGCTAACTGTGCAATCATTACTGCGCAGTCATTAGTACTTGTTTGTACACTAGACTTGTACTAGTATAAACAAGTTCTAAATTACTGCGCAGTACCATCAACAAATGGCTTTTTTGTGATGCTGACTGCGCAATAGCCAAAGACTACTGCACCATAACACCTCGGAACAGCTAGTAACAGACACCCAGAAAAAAATTGAACAACTGAATGCCCACCTTGCTTCGGTATTTTACCGGAGCAAGGGGAAAGACAAGCAAGATAAGGATCACAGGGAGCAGGGTGGGAATGATAGCCTTCCCACTGTGGATGCGCAGCTGGTGCAAAACCAACTAGAAAAGCTAGACATTTATAAGTCAGCAGGACCAGATGGACCTCACCTAAGAGTGCTGAAGGAGCTGGCTGAGGTCATCATGAAAACCCTGGCAAAACTTTTTCAGAAATTGTGGCACACAGGGGAGATCCCTGAGGATTGGAAGAGGGCCAACATTGTGCCCATCTTCAAGAAGGGGAAGAGGGAGGACCCGGGCAACTATAGGCCAATCAGCCTAATCTCCATCCCAGGGAAAATCCTGGAAAAACTCATTAAAGAATCTATATGCGATACACTCATTGAGGGTAAGATTCTGAATGACAGCCAGCATGACTTCATCATTGGTAGGTCTTGTCTTACCAATCTCACCTCCTTCTACAAAC